GCCCAGCGCCTCGGCCTCTGCCCGGCCCGGCTGCCCTCCCTCCGCGCAGCCCTGCTGGGCAGGGACGCTTGCACTGCTCCGAGAGGTCTTCGGAGTTGGAAGCTTTCAAAGCTCCTTGTGGATGAGGGAGAAATGCGCAAACAGAAATTGGGCAACGGAGGTTACGTCACGCCCTGAGAACGGCAAACACCGAGCAGGCTCTAGCAGGCCGCTCCGGGCCGGCTGTTTGCTCGGTTTGGGGTTTTCACCCCAGCACGGGCACACCTCTCCTTTGAATTTGCGTAACCTGGACTCAGGTCCCTTGGGTTTCACTTTTGTGAACCCCTCATGGGCACGGCTCTCCTCCTCCGGGTTTGCCAAGCCACCTCGCTGAAGTTCTGCCCAGAGTCGAATCAGAAAGAAGGGACCCGGGCTCCAGGCTGCGGCATCCGGAATGAGACCCCGACTCTGAGCGCAGAGGAGAGCAGTTTGAGCCGGAGCCCAGTGCAGACGCCTCGGGGACAGGCACTTGGCCCAGGCACCCATGGGAGGCGAGCAGGGAGAGGGCGGCACTGGAGCAGCTCTCCGCCGCGGGAAGCGGTGCCTTGGACAGAAACATCTGCAAAGAAAGTTTTCTCTTCACACGGCAAGTGTTCGCTGTGTCCGTGTGCATTCTGCCCGCGCTGTGCTGTACAGAATGCTCGGTAGACTTTCTGAACTTCAGTCACAGCCGCCTCCTAAGAGGTAACTCGCGTGAAACCAGCAGCTTGACAGAATGGCCGTGTCTCTAGTATCTACAGACGTATTTCTCTCTGTGCGCGCGTGTAGACTTTTGTATACACAAAGAAAGCTGCTCCACTCCAGAACCACTGGTACTCCGCTCACTTCTAGGAAACACTGCCTCATTCTGGGTGGGGAGGTGGAGGTGAATTACTCCATGTTCCTTTCCCCTACTCCCCTATCTCCTTTCTCTTTCCTGTAGCCCAGGGGCTGGTTCTCAACACTTACTGTACTTAAAAACTTGGCAGCTTTTAAAAATACTGTTGCCACCCTAGATGAATTAAATCAAAATCTCTGGGGGCGTACCCAGCTAATTTGTGTGTGTGTGTGTGTGTGTGTGTGTGTGTGTGTGTGTGTGTGTAAGTTATCGTGGAGGTTTAAGATAGTCATGGCTGGGAGGCCTCCTCCAGACTCTGGGGAAGACAGGGTTTCTCTTGGAAATGTGAATTCTGGATGTGGTAGAACTTCCTTCCGCTGCTCCCTGCCCCAGGAGGAGAGCCGCACTCAGTGAGGTATCCGGGCCAATGTGTTCCTCTTTTCATTCGCTCCGGTTGCTTCCCCTGCCCGACACAAGTCTCCTACTCTTATTTACACAGCACAGCATCACCTTCAAGTGTCCTTCAGCTTGCTTCCTCTTCTTGTGGCCAAACATCTTTGTAAGTTTGGATCCTAGGGCTCTGTTTCCTCTGTCACTTGTGTGTCAAGCTCCTGCCGTTCCCCTCTCCAGAAAAAGAATCAAAACATTCCAATGAAACCACTGACCTTCAAGACACAAGAGGCCACGTGGGAGACAGACTCACAGCTCCTCCCTGGCACTCGCTCCGCTGGGATGGTCGGAGACCTTGGATTCTGTCTTGAGAAAGTGAAGGGCAAGGCTGCCTGCTCCCCTCCCTCTCCCTCCATCGTGCTCTCCCGAGGGTGCCCAGGTGATGAGCCAGTGACCCCTCCAAAGCACCTTCGCTCCTAGCCGTCACTTCTGTCTCGTTCTCTGGTTCCCGAGTCACAGCCTCCCGAAGTTCCCCTCCAGGAAGTCTCCTCCTCCCAGAGGAGATGCAAACATTGCCAGGGCATAGCCCCACTGACCTCCAGCCTGGGGACCGACGACTTCAGCTCCTGCCAGTGTTTCTGGACATCCGGACGCCTCCTTGGTTTTGACCTTCCACTCAGATCCGTCTGTCACCAAGGTTCCATCCTCCGTGGGCTTCATGTGTGCCCTTGAGATTTAACATGGGAAGGCTGTGCCCTTGAGGATGGTCTGGACATTCAAGAGGAGACCACAATCTTAAAGCTCTGTCCCCAGATGAACCAGTTAACTCGGTTCCAAGTGTTCAACCCCAGGCTCTCTCGCTGTACTTCATCCTCAGTCTCTCAGGTAAAAGCCACCTGTTGAGCAGATACAAAAGACACACATAATGCCTGCCTACCTGAACAGGGGGAGACTACATCATCTTCACTTGCCTGGTTCTTTGGGGGCAGGGAGTTGTTCCACTTCTAGGTACCAAAGTTGTTAGCCCTTTGGCCTTAGCTGTAGCCACCAATGCACACTAAGAGTTTAACACTAGGTCAGTTTGCAAAGCCAAGGCCAAGAGATTTAGTTTAGGGTGGAAAACATCACTTCAAAAATTATGATTTTCAAAATCTCCGTGTTTCTGGAATGGCTTCTAAATCCTTTGGCAGGGGTTTATTGAAGGCCCCTATGCACAAGGGAATGAGGATGCTTTTTCCTTCCTCACCTGGGAGCCCTGACCACCAAAGAGAGGACTTGTACAGACGGAGCGACCATTCAGGGGAGAGTTACAGGTGGGATCGCAACTAAAGCTTAAGGCATTTTCCAGACTGTTCTATAAGTGATTCTGAGCTTCTTTACTATTGCACCAAGGAGGATAACCAGTCTTCCTGTTCTCAATGAGATTATCTTGTAAAACGCATTAAACATTAAACAGCACAGTAGCTGCCACCAAAAACAAAAACAAAAACAATTATTCGGTGCATTTTGCTCTTTCAGTGTTTAGGAAACTGTCTCCATGATCCATGCAGGTCTCTCTTTGTAAGAGGTATTGCTGGGCTTTTTTTCACTTGCTTCTAAGTGCAGTGTTTTCATTTATCTAGCATAATAACATAATTAACAGGCACACAGGCCTTCTTTTATGCATGAATAACATTATTCTTGCCTTTAGAAGGACTCACTGCAGGGTGAATTACAAGGACAAGAAAGAATTACAGCATTGTATATGAAGTGATAAAATAGGTTCCTGGAAATCTTGTGGGAAAGCAAGGAAGAGAACATCTGGCTCCCAGGGAGTCCGGGACAGGCAGCGTTAATGAGGTGGGGACACGTGAGTCTGGCTGTAACCCAGGAGCAGGCGCTCAGTGGACAGAAATAGTGAGAAAGAAGATTCCAGGTGGAAACCTCAGAGACCAGAGTGGTTGTGAGTTGTTGACCAATTCCAAGGTGGCAGAAGGAAAAACGGCAGACAGGATCGGGTCGTGCTTTGCTGAGAAATGTCAGGCAAGGGTTTTGAGTTTGCTCTGTCTGTGATGGGTTGCTGCTGAAGGATGAGGATGAACTCGATAGGGTTTGTAGCTTAGAAGTCTTCAGTAAAATTCAGTGGTAAAACAGGGAGACTGACGCCAGCTGTGGTGGTGCAAGCCTGTAATCCCAACTTTCTGAGAAGCTGAGCAAGAAGGTCACAAGTTCAAGCCCAGCCTGGACAACTTACAGAGACCCAGGCGACAAAAAAGGGAAAAGGCCTGGGGTATGGCTCAGGGCAAAGAGCTTGGGTTCAGTCTCCAGTGCTGGGAAAACAAAGATCTAAGGCAGGGAGAACCTGAACTAGGACCAAAGAAAGGAGAGGGAAAGTGAGAGATCTAGGGATTAGAGGTCATCCAAGGACACAGAGCTGGACGGGCTCCCAAGTCCTACGAGATTAGATTTAAATATAAGATGTAACTGAGAGGAATTATGGCAGAAGATGAATGTTGAAGAAGGACAAAGGTGAAAGGGAGGAGCTAGTACAGGACACAGGTGCCCTCACGCAGGGAAGTCTGTGAAAGGGGTTTCAGGTTATTTTCACCCAAAACCTTTGACTCTAAACAAACAACTGTCCTGATGTCTAAAGTTTTCGTGACCAGGAAATAGATTTTGATCGCAAAGGGACATTGTTTATTTGCAGTGGGCAAGAGAGACTAGGGACAGGTTTGTCTCTCCAAATGGAGTTTAATCCTGTAAGTATGTGTGTTAAACGTCTCCAGCCACTTGTAAAGAGCATTTAAATTTTCCTAAGAGAAAACAAACCAAGGCTCCAGCCAAAGCTTACTGCCAGCAGTCATTTGTCCCTGGGGGAAAAAAAATGCAAAGAACTGAAATTTGGAAAACTTCAAACCAACTTGCTGAAAAGACTGACTTTGCGCTCCAAAGAAAACATCAAGGGGAGACTTGCGTTGTCCGGGCAAGAGAAAGCTGCCTGGAATAAGACCCGTGGACAGGCCTGGCTGTGCTGATTTGACTGAGTAGAAAGGACCCTGAAACAAGAAAGGATGGGAAGCCTCTGACCCAGCCTCCTGCATGTGCGGTACTTTGTAAACACTGCAATTACAAACCCGACCTTCTATGAGATTCTTCTACGAGAACTGCTGTTGTGGAGAAAGATGGTCTTGGTGTGCAAATGGCCTTTGCATCTTGACCCAACTCTCTCCAGGTAGCCGCAGATTGACCTGGATTTCCTGAGCACCCTGTTTTAAATGAGGACCAAATCTCCCCATAATCCCCTTAAGTGGCTCTAACTTTTGTAGAGTAACTTTCAGGAGGAAGGAGGTAGAAGGAAAGAAGAGAGGCAGTACGTGTAGGGCTCTTGCCAACCCCAGGCATTAGTATGCAGGAATGCTTTTAACCTACTTGACAACTGGTTACCTACGAACATGAAGAGAGGATTTTGAGAATCAAAGGAAATGATAAACAAGACTGTCCAGGGCCAGAACATGTTTCTCCTCTATGATATGTGCTTTCCATTTCAGTGTTGGCATCTGGTGCATTTAAGAGACTGAAGTGAAAGTTCGGGTCCGAGAGAGGGAAAAGATATAACTCTGTATGGCACCTTCAAACATATTTCATAGTAAACCTTGAATGTGAAACTTTTCAAATATTTTATTTTGTTCATAGGCCTCCCAGAGATGTCTTTCCTCTCATCACGTCCCAGAATCCATCTCTCCTTTCCCCAATCACCAATCTGTCCCTCGATGCCAGTGTGTGCAGGGTTAGTCCAGGGCTGGTGTGGATGGGACAGAGCGTGGTTACTGCACAGATGGGCTCAGAAGGAGGGGGTCGCAAGGGAGCAGGCTTCATTCTGCTTGTAAGTTCCGGTGGTCATTACAGTAATAATCACTGGGGTAAATTTGGGGACAAAAGAAAACTAAAAATGTGACACGCAGCTGACTTGCAGGAGACACCAGCTTTCCCATGACTTTCCACTCCAGCTTCCTAAGAGCCTGTGGTAGGCGGTGATGGTTGCCCATAGCAACTTGAAAACAGAGAAGTGCATGTTCGTGCTTCGGTGACACCTATCATATCCCAGGGATCCAGCCGAGCTGCAGAGGAGAGGGACCTCCTGGCACCCCAGGGTGCATTTCAGGAGGGTTTTCTTGTGGACCCATCCCATTCACATGCCCATTGCCTTCTGCTCATTTCAAGGAAGACACAAAGCACCATGTGTAGAAAACACCATCCTGGATTCTGAGCCTGCGGGGAGGAGGCAGTGACTTGGCCTCAGCCTCACAAGCCAGTGCGTGGGAAGCACATGAATGCATGGTTTCAGTCCAGTTGTAGATGCTGAGGCGCACACAGGGGCCAGCGACTGGACTCAGAATGGTAGTGTCCAGCCGGGGAAGTCTTTCTGGAAGACATGGTGCTAAGGCTGATGGTCACACGCTAGGCAGGAATGTAGGCAAAGGTGACCCATTCTTTCTGCATAGGGCATGGGATAAGGGCAGAGCAGGAGAGCAAAGAATGGGCAGTCAGAGAAGGGTTCTATTTCAGTTTGGTAGGGAAGCAGCAGGAGTCCACAGGGCTGTTCCCACCAGTCTGGAGCTACATGCGGATAAATTTACACTTCTGTGACCCACCAATTATTATGTTGTGTCTGGTTTAAAAAAAAAAAACCATCTTTCAAAAATACTAGGTGTGGGCTGGGGATTTGGCTCAGTGGTTCCACCACCTGCCTTCCAAGTGCAAGGACCCAAGTTCAATCCCTGGTACCAAAAAAAATACTAGCTGTGTGTAAGATGGAGCCAGTTGTAGATCACCCTTTCTCTAAGTACACTAAATGCTTCCACAGCCACACTACTTCATGAGCAGGTACCCAAAAGTAAAAGGGGGACTTGACATGTAGAGAAGGTGTTCTGACATTTTGGGGAGCTGTACCCCTTTCTGTCATTGTCATGAAAATTAGGGGCTGTGTCCTTAGAAAGGCGCGTGTGCATTTAGGCGCCCAGTTCTGTGCACTTTTAAGGGACCATCTGGAAAATGGCTCAAATCCCTGCTCTGAAATGAGCACTAAAACTCTTGAATGAGGCAGAACAGGACCTTCAAGGGTGAGCTTCGGAAGCCACTTCCTAGGTTTAAACCTCAGGTCTCACATTAATTGTATGATTTAGCAGAAGTTACCAATGGTGGTCAGTGTACCTCGATGAATCCATCAGTAATGCAGGAATAATAATATCTCCCAGAGTTTATGAAAATTCAAGGGATACAAATAAAACTCTTAGAACTCTTAGCTTGGGACACAAGCATTCAGTGAGTGTTGGCTAGTATCTCTGTTGTCATCAGCCTTGACCTCCTGCTCAAACTCCGTCTGCCAGAGGAGGACACAGGGTTTTATTTTCTTTTTTCCTTTAGGCTTTCTGGTTCATTGGTCTCCCTGCAGCAGAGTGGTGAAAACGTCCAAAGCATAGGCAATGGGAGAATTGGAGCTCTCATACACTACATACAGAAACATCTGCCTTTACTTAGGGTAAATTAACTAGAGCTTTTCCAATCGAGTCCATTTACTTTTCCCTCTTCTCATTCAAATAACTGAAAATGGGTGAAAGTAGGAATTAGCCTGTTTACTTATTACAATAAAATAAAACGGAGGTGTCAACATGGTTGGAAAATTGTTAGCTAAGATGTCAGGTGTATGTGGAAAAGCAGGTGGTTAGGAAATCATTTATATTTGCAAAGAAAAGGGGATATTTGTAAAAGGAAACCCTTGGAAATGTAAAAGGGCCTTCTGAGTAGGAGACGAGTTGAGACATTTATTTTCCACTGGAGCCGTAACTGCAGGACTGGTTTCCTCCCCGAGCACAGCTCCCACTGGGCTTCGCTTATTGCCGGTTCACAGTTTCTAGCAAAAGCACGTGTTAACTCCAACTCTAAGGGCTCAGATTTGTGTGGCTGTGGAGGAATGCTTCCGTGGTTTTCTTATGGGAGAGACTCAGACAAGTGGCTTCTCAGCTGCGGTGGCCAAACTGAGGAGACAGCTGTTTGCTAAACTGCCAAGAAGAGGGGTTTGTTGTAGAGGTAGGTGATGATGAAATAACCACAACTCAGCTACCGAGTACTGTTATGTGCCAGGTCCACCTGACGTTGGGCTTAAAAAGAAGGGGAACCAAGTCACAGGGGAAAACAGATGCCCGCTCTCCTCTCCTCCAAGAGGCCTCTCTGCTGGAGCTTGAGGTTCCCAATTGTGAGTTCTCATTTAGTTCCTTTAAAAACTTTCCAGTCGTGGCGCACTGGGCTGTTTGCTATGTGATCATCAGGCCCTTCAGGACACTGAAGGAGCAGTGGTGGATGGGACGGGAGGTCAGCATGCAGACTCGGGCCCAGCACGAGGAGGACATGGGCAGCACGACTTGGCATCCAAATTCCTTTCCTCACCAGGCTCTGCGCTTGCTAGGAGACCATACCAGGTGTGCCCCTCAGATTTGAACCATTTTCGTGCTCTGGAGATCTGGACTCCTCCCAGAGGCCTCTCTACGAAACGGGTCCCAAAAGCCTGCTGTGCCTGCTGAGTGCTCCGGGCTCTGCAGCCCAGAATGAAGAGAAAGCTCCGGCTGTCCTGTTGTGGGAGGGTTGGGAAGGTGAGAAGGAAAGGGAGAACCGTGCAGAGAAAACCCCCAGCAGGGGCGAGCTGTTGGTGTCAGCTGCACGGTGACACGCATACCTGGGTGTCACACTCTGACCTGGGGCTGGCGTGTGTTCACATGAGGGAGGAGCGAGGCTGCGTGCACTGCTTCTCCCACTCTCTCCACACAGCACACACGCACCTCCGGTGAGGAGGCAGCACACTGAGCGTGCAAGCACCAAGTTCCCTTTCCCTCCTTGAAAGTGTTGGAAGGGCTCTCACGAGGCGAGTGTGACCCAACCATGGACCAGTGCAGCCTCCCCTGGCTGCGCCCCTCTTGTCCCTGCCTCGGGCTTCCACACCCATCTCCCTGCCTCCCTTCTTCTGCCTGCTCCGCCCTCCCGGCCTCACAGAGCGCCCAGTGCCCAGCCTTTTATAGCCCTCACCGAAATCTGCTCCTGAGTCCGAGGTCATGGTGTCTGTTTCTCCCTTGTTGAGGGCTCCTGTGATGGAACCTTCTTTTTTATGTATTTTTTTTCTTGGCTCCTGAGACAGAACCTTGCTTTTTAATGTATTTTTTTCTTGAGTGTCCTAAGTGCCTAGCAGTAGGTCTGGGGCTGGCCAGTATGAGGTCCAGTCCGTGTTTGTTCTAAGTTGTGGTTCACTGTGAAGGATTATTTCCAGGCAGAGTTCGTGCCTCCGCTTACCTATTTGGTTCTCCCACCCCTAACAGTGACCCCTGTTCCTGTGGACTTGCACATAGCTCTCAGTAAATGGTTCTCCAGTCAACAGATGTTTAATAGTGGGCATGTACTGAACTGTATTCAAATGGTGCAGGTCATTCACAGGTTCCCAGTAAATTTGAATGAATGGATATTTAATCATGATCTATATTTCTTAGGCTGTATTTAAAAGCTATATCATCTTCAAATATTTTTAAATGGTACAAAAGAGCAGATACTATTTTACCAGGAGTAAATTTATTCCTTTTATAATCATAGATAAGGTAGCAGCTAAAATTTTTAATCTGCAGTAAGATTCATTACACAGAATTACTTTATAAATTCTCTGAGTTGTTGATTTGTTTGGAAGTAGGACTTGAGGTATCCTATGCCAACTATAAATAGATTGGTGCTTTAATTATCATTATTCTAATAATACTTTTTTTTTTTTTTTTTTTGTTTTTTGTATAGATC